TAGAAATATACATATGTTAGTAACAAGTTCCAAATTCTAACAAAAACAGCTAAAATCTGGAGCGTCAGTATATCATTAATAGTGAAAGCAATCAAAGTCTTGGGGAAGAAGTTTGACTTGACGCTAAAAGATAGCATACTGACAGTACCTCAGATTGCTTTCCTCTTGAAGCAGGTCTGTTGCGTTTTCTGCGGAGACGCTGTCTTTCATGTACTTCATTGCGACCATCGTAGAGTCAATCCGGGCCTTGTAGACGTCCCCGAAGCTGCCAGAATCAATCAGCTCTCTTTCAACTAGGTCTTCATATTCAATGTCGTACTGCCGGATGGTTGTCACATAGCAGCAGTCAAGCTCACCTCGGACTTTCTCGCACGTTTCGAGGCTGGGGACGTAATGTTTTTCGGTGAGAACGATCGCTTCTTGTTTCCTCAACTTGTACCCCTCATTCATCAGTCGTTCGTCTGACTCGATAAGCTGTGGGATGGTGCCGAACAGACGATCGATGTATGCAGATGTGGACTCTACCTGTTGCCCGACGACCCGGCGGAGATTTTCGTCTGTCACGAAGTTCTGGACCGTGTCATTCGCGAGCTTCTCCATGTACGACACCTTGTTCTTCCTGTAATCTTGCAGTTGTTTTTTGTTGGCAACCTTTTTTCTAATGGCCATCGCCCCCGCTGCGGGGAGAGCGAATAGGCCTACGACCACTCCTATTGGAATGACCAAAGGTGAGGCTGCACCAAGAGCAATCTTCTGACCAGTAGTGAGGCTTGCTGCACTGTACTCAGGAACATAGAACACGCTCTTACCGACTTTGCGGCCTGGAACTGAGACATCGGAGTTCTTGGCGTGCTGACCCGCGGTGGCCATCTTGTCTTCGATGTCTGCGATATCCTCCTCTACAAAGTTAAACTCGGCACGGAACTGCTGCATCAGCTTGGACCGGAGGTTGCTGAAGAAGTCCCTGTTCTGATCCCACGTGCTGATTGCTTGCTGGATTCCTTGTTCCACCAACTTCTTTGTCAGATGATCCACCACGGCCCAGCTGTCGTTGTCGGGTAGCTCCTTCTCTTCCCACTGATAGAGCCACGCGCGAATTTCGTCGGACGTGAGGTACTGCCGAAGATCCTTTACTGCATTGTCGACTTTCTCTTGTAAGACCCGCCTCATCTTTTTTTCAGCAGAGGATGCTGCTGTACTGAGCTTCTTCAGCCTTGCCACAATGTTACGCCGTTGTTGCTCAAGAGCCGGGAGTTCCTCGTCCACCAAGTTTCCCAGCATCACGCGAAGATGGAAGGATGACCTGTCAAGGAGATAGGCCAGCCACCTGTAGGGCATTAAGTATATGTTGTTGAAAATACATTTGTGCATCTATAGATGTATATACAAATGGTGCATTGCTATGAACATGAAACCTCTCAGGATGACTTACCGGTAGTTCAGCTCGACCTTGGCATGTAGACCGATAGGCAGCAAGTCTTGTAGGCCATTCAACAGCTTTTCAAAGTCCTTAGTGATGTAGTTGGCTTGGTTGCGAGCCATCGCTGCCTGTAAATAATGGGTTTAAAACTGAAAACACATACATATATTGCATTGCCAAATAGTTTCTACAGACAGCAAGCACTGTCTCAAGTAAGGCATTGCCGTTGCAACTCAAACATACAGAAATGATAATGTGTCACTTGTAAGTACAATATTTACAACATAAATTAGCAAATACGGAAGAATTGCATTGGCTAGATGGAGACATAACAGGTGTAGACGGTCAGCGATGCTACTGACCAACGTAAGAACACATCTTAAGCCATATTAGTAGGCCGGACGGGTATTATCATGCCCAAGTAGAATATCGACAGGCCGCTTGTCATACAGTGTGTACATTACCTTCTTTGCTGAGATCTTGAACACTTGAGATTCATCTAGTTCAGGCCAGCAGCGCTTCAGTTTCCTTACGGTGTCGTCCCAAACCTCGCCTGCTTCCTTGGATGGCACCATGTCCCACTTGTTGCATACAAAGATGGCTGACTTTGGGTCGAACATCGGCGGCTGATCGGGATCGCGTCCGTGTGTTAAGGCCTGTAGAAGATCCCCGAGCTGGTTGGAAAGTAACAACATGATTTCGTTTCAAAGGTGACATTATCTTACATTATCTTACATTATCTGTAACAAACTATAAAATGCGGAAACGCCATATTCCTCTCTGCTGTACATGACAGTGATCGGTAGAGGAATTTTTGATTTTTCTCTACCAAGCTCTGTGCTGCCATGTACTGGTTAAAACCAGGTACATACCCGGTCAGGCTGGACTCCTCCGGCGTTAGCGCTGTTGATGATGTACATAAACGCGAAAGCGTTCGGCAGGTATTTCTTCACCATCTCTGTGAGCTGCTCATTCTCCCCCACTCCAGGACTGTCCACTATGGTGATGCCACCCTGAGTGTGAGGAGGAAAGTAGAATAAAAAATGGGTCAGAATACCATGATGCTTGGTGCTGTTACGCGTCTTTACTTGTAAGCTTTTCGTCAGAGTCATAAGTGTGCACAAAACCACATGGCATGATGCGTAGGCAAATAACACTCTGAAAGTAGAATATTTCAATCTCAGCTTTTTTTCAGGAAACGCTCTAAACAGTGAATAGGAAACAGTGCACTAAATTGAAGCATAGTAAACAACAGAAACACATATTTGATGAAATATTTTGGATATTTATCCTCGAGAGGCAGATTACTGGTGATGCCAAAAAAACAAAAAAAGAAATCAATATGCTAGCAGACACCATTCAGAATGTCACTCAAATGCAATGTAGTCGCTTATAAAGAGAGATTCACCACTGATAGAGGATCAAAGTTTTTAGTGATACTAAAACAAGTGAGATACCTCAAGCAATGGAAAATCCAGGAAGATCTCAACTTTGTTGTATTCGAAGGTACGATTGTCTCTTCCTTCTTTCTGGTAGACGAATTTAGAGAGTTCCTCCATACGAGCGTCCTTGCTGCCCTGAAGTGGCACTTCAACGTAACTGGTGGGATCTCCAGTTTTAAAGGCCCTGATCCTTTCCTGTTTGCCATGTTTCAGCTCACAGATGGTAGATGTTGAGCTAAGGATGGAGTAGGGCAGCAGCTCTTCACCCAGGATCAGGTTCAGTAGGGTGCTCTTCCCCGCTGATGTCTCACCTGCACAAGAATGACGTCTTGAAGTTAATTATAACGTTACCACATCACCGCAAAATCAGTATGTCAGCATCCTCTACAGGCGGTAACTCTACACCACAACCAGAACATAAGATTAAGAAATTGTAAAACCTTCTTTGTCCCTATATTTTTCCAGGTAAGTTACACACAACCGTGTATAAAAGGAAATAAGAGTTTAGGCCGGAGAAATATCCCAAGGGTGGAGCATGATAAAAATGTGTTGAAGGCGGCGCTTCGTATGACAGTACACATACGCTGAACCTTGAAAGTAAATGTAATCATTAAATCATTAAATTACATGCACATTATTTACCTGCCACGAGGATATGGCATGCATCATCCCTCAGCTGTTCCAGTTTGGTGGTGAGAAGAGACTGGAACCTGGGGATGTTAGACTCGAGCTGCTGTTTAGCGGAGTCGTGGAGTCCTTCTGCATATGTTGCAGCCTCTTCAAAGTGGTAACATAGCTCCTGCCGTGAGACCCGATCCTTTTCAAGGACACTTTTCATAAGACCTGCGGCCTGCACAATCAAATCAGCAGATGGGTCACTGACTAATTTATTTGTTTATATATTTATTTATTTCTGTTTTATTTAAACAGGGTAGAAACCTCAGTGCTATTTAAAACCACTGCTTTTCAGGAATGCCCTGTAACAACAAGTGACATATGAAAACAATGAAATCGACACATCAACAATACATAACCTTACAAATAACTAAGCGTCAAAACAAAATCGTTAACCGTAAATCAATGTCGTTAAGCCAGGCCAAATGTGAGGAGGTACAGACTAAACAATAGAGTTTCGAT